CTGTTCCACAGCACTCAGGAACAGCGCTACGGCTACGGCGAGAACCTGTACATGTGCTGGGGGTCGGACTCGTGCTACTCGCACGAGAAGGCGATGGAGGGACTATGTAAGTGTTGTTTTGCGCGCTTGCTGGGCCCGTGTCGCTTGACGATGAGCGGCAGCAGTGAGGAAATATGCAGTAGGCATCATTTTCACCACACGCGGCGCGCCCTCCTTTTTTTGTGACGCAGACCTGACAATCCCCCCACGTATGCCCGTATCTCGCCTTCGAAGCTGCTGGGTGCAACGATGCATATCCTGACCACCCCCCCATCTCTCCTTGTCCCCAACGTGCGCAAACAGACTACGACGAAGTCCAGTTCGACAGTGTTCTCCAGTACGGTGGTCACGCGACCCAGATCCTGTGGAAGGCTACGGAGCAAGTCGGATGCGTCGTGGCGCGGTGCACCAACGGCGGAACCCCCTACACGTTCCTCGTGTGCCAGTACGACCCACCGTAAGTGACGAGGTCGGTGTTTGTTGCCTGTCCCTTGTCGGAGGAATAATGTGTTCTTGAACTATATGAACTATATAGGTCCCACGTGAATATCTCTCTCTGCCGTATCGTCTTCAGAACTGTGATGCTTTACAGTACAGGAGAATGGACGGATCGTATTGTACGGGAGCATGTCGCTCCTGTTTTCGCCGGCCGATGGAAAATGCATTACCGACTGGACGGACGTTTTCCGGACGGTCAGCGTCACCTGTTGTCAGCACGTACAGCACCTTTCTTTGCACCTTCCGCGCGATGTGGAACTTGACGGTTTCCTCATTCTGTGTGTTCCATCCTCTCTCCCTACGTTATGTTTGACCAGGGGCAACTACGGCGGCCAGTACGAGGAACAGGTGGGCCTTCCTGACTCCGGGAAGTCGTGCTAGACACGCCCACTTCCCTGTGTTTCATCCGGACAACTCCTGGCGCCGAGTTGTTATTGACCGTGATGTCGAGCAGTTGATTGGCTGAAGGTCGCCACAAGCCAGCTCGAAACTTTCCTCCGACGACAGTTGTCGACGCTAAATAGACGGGTTGTAGCGGTACTGCGTGCTGTGCTTGTTACTGCATGTGGAAGCCTTTGTGAGGGTTTGATATTTCTTTGCGCGTGCTCTTGTTTACTTCGTACTTGGTTCATTGGCGTCTCCTCGTAGTTTACGATTGCTTGTTCTGTGTTTTGTGCCGTAATCTGTTTCCGTATATGTTCCGTCGTTCTAATTCCTATCTTGTTTTCTCGTGCCACTCACTTGTTGTACAGACGTCACCATTGTTCTTTGTAGCCAAAGTGTTTCCACTTTCGCGCGTATTGTTCGCATCTGTTCTTGGTAGCTATGCTAGTGTTTTGTTTCTCGCGCGTTTTGTTCGCTGCAAGAGATGCTGTTCTTTTTTCATGTCTGGGGGATTAATGTTTGCCCGGGTGAGAAAGTCGTTCGTTAAAACTTTTCTTGGGATACTACTGTAGCCGCATCCTGGATGGATCGACCGTGATCTGCGGCGTATGGCATGCTTTGGAGCAGAACCTCGATTGATTTCAGATTTTCACATGGTACTCTTGATCTGCTGTGAAGAGGATGTGGTAGAAACTAGACTGGGCTTCCGTCGAGTGGGATATGTTCATGTTGGAATGGACAGATTCATGAAGTGCAGGTGCTGTGTGTCAACAACCCACCTAGTACCGTAGCTCCCTGGGATACATAATGGGGATGAACCGTCGTACAACCCGCGCCTGCGAGGTGAAGCTAACCCGAAATATGTGTCAACATCTCGGGAATGGAGTCAGCCACTTCAACAACGATCTGTGTATTTTGTAGCTGTGGCGCGTTTCCAGTAGTTCCGCCTGACTGAGTTGTACCCCTGGTACTGAGGGCCGTTGGCGGTCGCTACTGGGAGGCATAACACAAAGCACAAAACATGACAGCACTACTCGCGTGCGGTGGTCAAACATATTTTTGAAGATCACCCGTCAACCCGTCGCGTGAATTCCACTACAGCAATAGTGTAAGAATTTTCATGTTCTCTCGGACATCCGAACACCCCAACCGTACACACGACGCGCACGTGTAGAACCGGGTACGTACGTGGCATGTACTGTTTAGAGCAACTACATACTCTACTACGACGTTCTACTCGTAGACAGTATCATAAGCCAATGCAACTACTGTACAGAATCTGAATTTCCAATGCCACTACAGTACAGAATCTGAATTTTCCGAAAGTCAACAAGTACAACTGTCACTTCACACAACCGTGCACGGTAGAGCAGAGAGCAGTCACCAGACAGCTCGATCTGCCTCGATTGCGACACCGTTGGTCTGGTGTCGATCAGCACGATACGCGAACATAAAAAGGCATTTCCTTGTCGGAATTATGGCATTTTCTTTTTCAAGAGGGTGGTGGGAAGAACCCACCGGGTTTTGTTTTGTTTTTTGTGGACTCCGATATCGAAGCCACTGTTTTTTTTTTTTCTTGTCGGGTGCATCGCCATCAGCAGCACTCCACAACACTTGCACTGCACACCTACTTGCAGCCTGCAGCTCTTGTCCGCTCAATACGTTTCAGACAAATTATCCTCCTTACAACAACGGTACCACAAAGACACAGACTCGGTGCTGTCAGCTGCAGCTACACAACGCAGGCAGGACTGAAGACAGCAACACGCACGTACGCCTTGCCGCTATGTATGACGAGTGTTGGCAACGCGTCTATGACTGCACTACTCTTCTTCCGCGTGCACCCTCATATTACTACTGTTGAAAGCGGCCTTCGACCACATACAACAACAACCGCTTACACAAAAAACACATGAAAAAAGGAAATCTTCGTTTGATTGCCAACAGAGACCATTTACGTCTGTTACCTGCGACGACAACACAGTTAGTTGCCACCGTGCAGCAAACTACGCGGAGCACAGCCGTACGTCAGGGGGCAGAAATCTCCACCAACAACTGCTCGCGTATACGCACAATGCAAAACTCTTCAAACACACACAACATACAAATGCAAAACTCTTCAAACACACACAACATACAAACACACACAGTACTACTCTACGGCTGCATGAGCGCAGAGGCCTTCTAGAACGTACCGTACCACCCACAGGTGTATACCGTTCCGTAAGGAGTACGTCCTTCGTCCCTCGTATCAGTTTTTCCGAGGGAGGCTTCTGCCCAATTGCAAATAAACAAACAAATTGAAAGCACGCCGAAATCAGGCGAAACACTACCGTCTCTCGTTCTTCCACCGAACAACTACTGTCTACTCCAGGTCAATGCTGCTGCCTCGTCGTAGCTTTCTGTTCAGCAGCAACGTACCGTTCAACCAGCCGTAGATCACGGTGCTTGTTCTTCTCAGTAGGCCTGCACCGGCACCATCGGCGGGAAAGGGGGGCTCTCGTGACAGGGGTGAACGTGGCCAGGGCCCGCCGCCATCCTTCCGTGCTGCTGATGCTGCTGATGGTGTTGATGATGCTGATGGTGCTGCTGCCGGGGGTGGAAGTCGTCACCGAAGTCCTCGCACCGCATTCCGCCTCGCATGCCCGGCGGGCCGGGGGGCGGGCCGTGCAGTCGCTGGTGTAGACCGACGGGGCTGCGGTGGTGGTGACGTCCTGCTCTGTGAGGAACGGGGCCATGGTCCATGCCCATACCGGCGGCGTCTCCGTCGCTGTCCAGGAGGTGCATGCCGCCGTGTTCCGGGTGGCGACGAGGGTGGGCGCGGTGACCTGGGCCCCTGTGCATTCCAGCGCCATGCTCTCCTTCACTCCCGCTGCTGTGTACGCCCTCGCCGTGGAAGCTGCGCCCTCCGTAGATTGGGTGCATTTGGCGGTCGTGCATGGGCATCCTGTGGGGACGAGGGCGGCCTTGTTGTCCGCGTAGGTGCTGGGGGGGGTGCATTCCGTGGGAAGGGCCACGAGGCCCGGCATGCATCATCGCCATTTCTTCTTCTCCTTCGGTCTCTCCGTCGCCGTGGTGGTGGTGGCCGAGTCCGTGGTGGGGGTGCATTTGGCGGTCGTGCATGGGCATCCCGTGGGGACGAGGACCGCCGTGTTGTTCGCGTAGGTGCGGAGGGGGGGGCATTCCATGGGGAGGGCCACGCGGCCCGGCTTGCATCATCGCCATTTCTTCTTCTCCTTCTTCGCTCTCGCCGCCGTTGTGGTGGTGGTGGTGGTGACCAGGTCCGCGGTGGTGGTGGACGCGTCCGTGGTGCAGGTGCAGTCCACCGTATTCTTCGAACGGTTCGCGGGGCGGTCCGTGGGTAGGGCTGGACGAGCGGCGGTGATCACCGTGGGCAGGACGCCTACCGTGGTCGTGGCTGTGGCCATGGCGGTGCGGCGGAGGGCCATGCGGAGGGGGGCCGCGAGGCCTACCCATGCCTCCACCGCCGCGGTGGTGGTGGTGGCCACGACCTCCAGGGCGACCGGGCTGCTGGTGAGAAGGACCACCCCGCCTGCCTCCAGGCCTGGACCGCCGAAGTTCTTCCAGCTGAACGAGCCCGAGCTTGACTAGGCGGTGAGGACCTAACCCGAGCGCACGGAGCAACGGCCTGGTTTCGCGGGGCCGGAGCTGGACGCCTGCGGCGACAAAGACCGCGTGGATGGGGTGCTTGCTGGCTCCGGCCCCGATGCCGATGCTGTCCTGGGTGGCGATGTTGTCGTGCTCGGTGTCGCTGCCGTCGCTGCTGTTGCTGTTCGAGTCGTCCGAGACCTGGTTGTTGTCCGCATGCCCTGGCTCGACTTCGGATTCGCTGCTGCTGCTGCTGCTGCTGCTGCTGCTGCTGCTGTTGTCCGCGTCAGCGTCGTCAGCTGCTGGTTTGCCCTCGAGAAGATGCTTTGGGGCAAGTCCCTGCGCCACGAGGCGGCCGGGGCAGAGCTGAAGCAGGACCATGGTCTTCTCCAGGTCGCCCGCTGTCATGGAGGGGACACCGTGGTACTCGCGAAGGTTCCTCGCTGCAGCCTTGTACAGCAGAGGGTTCGGCTCTCCCGCACCCTTGCAGCTGGGCTTGTTCGTCACGCACGCTGTCATGCTGATATTGTTGTTGTTGTTGTTCGTGTTCTCCGTCGCCTTGCTGTTCATGGTGTTGGTGTTGGTGTTGTTGTTGTTCTTGATGCTGTCCATAGTTGTGTGAGGAGGTGGGGGCGAGAGCGGGCGAGGGGCGAGGGCGAGCGGCAAAGGCGGCGTAACCTCTTCTAGAAGAAAGATGAGAAGAACGCCGTTCCGCAGGTTCTTTGGGAGTCTGGGAACCGTTCTTGGTTCTTCGGGAACGTTTTTCGAACTTCTTTGTCCTCGCCCTCGGTTCGTCTCAGCTGGTTCTTCTTGCTTTCGGATCTTGGAGACGCGGTTGGTGGGCGGATGTTCGTTCCGGGGCTGTCTACCAGGCCTGCACTGTAGAGCGATGACGACGCCTCTCGGTCTTCGTCTGGTTGGGTCCGGTACGCAGCCCACAGAGCTGAGGCTTTTCGAACAGGCCGGGAAAGACTCGAGAAGGCGAGAAGAGAGTATGGATTGTCGTGATCGGTCAACAGAGGTTTTCGCATCGCGAGACGAAGCGACGAAGCGGGGGTGATGGACCGGCATGTTCCATCGACAGTCGAAAATCGAAAATGCCCACGGGTTGGGCAATTTGCCGGTGCTGCGGCCGCCGGGTTTTCGAATGCCATTGATGATGTGCTCCAGATACATTCCTTGGACATGGCTTAAAATTCATCGAGAATCCTACACTCTTGCGAAGACATGCATGCCCGCGCTATCAGATACACCGCGATACCTGCCACAGTCGTTTTAGGGGGCATTCCCTGCTCGACAAATCCCGCGCGACCACCCACCGTACTATCTTATCTCTCATGTGTCCGATATACCTACAGGGTTTGCAAAAGAGATACACGAACGAGAGAGTCAAACGCGGTGCATCCAAGTCTACCCAATGTCACCACTATTATTATCGCAAATCTCCACGGCAGAACCAAGACAGGCCATCCGCCCCGTCTCCGATCCATCGCAACGCAATCAGTTGTTCTGCCAACAAAAGTCTCCCCTCTTGGTCTGCTACACAACAAACAGCTAACGTTACACCACGTGGGCATGCGTCTCGACGGCAAAAAACAAAAAACGTCTCGAATAAATGCGGGGGGATCGCCCAAAACCTCCCCCCCCTCCCCCACGTTCTTGTGCTGCGTTCCAGCGATTCTCTAAAGCAGGAGATATTTGCTAATTAATGAAGGAGATCCTGAAAACAAGGCAAGGCCTATTGGGTCTATTTGTCCTCAGCCCTACTCGTCCTCCTCGGTGGACGCTTCGTCGTCGCTATCGTCATCCTCTTCTCCCGACGACGACTCGCTGTCTTCTAGCCAGGCCACGAAAGCCTGCACCTCCTTCTGCTCGAACAAGCCCCTCTCCGGCGATCCCTGCGGCGTCGCCCTGAGGTAGTAGTAGTGGACGTAGTTGGGGGGGGGGGGGCGGGATGAGGCCGCAAGGACAGTGCAACATGAATCCGGAGCGGCACAGCATAGCCAAACTATCGAGAATAACCATCAGCCAACACGGCATGGGGGAGGGAGAAAATGACAATTTACAAGAATACGAAACCAAGTCAAAGACAGCGCACACATAACATTCGCCTAAGGTTTCTTTGACAAAAAAAAAACGAACACGACGCGAAGGTACAAGGGCATTGTTGACACTGCGTGACTTACAGCAGTGGAGAAAACAACGCCAATGACGTGTAGTTTTCCACCATCAAAAGTGCGAAAAAATCAGTGAGAAACCACCTCTTCCCATCTCCACGGTTGCCACTACAATTTACCGCCGGCAGTAGTAGTACCCTCTCCTCTCGGCATCGTCTTCGACCCGCAACAAATGCTGGCATGATGACAACGGATGTTGTACGTCCTGACCCCCACACGACATGCAACCGGCACCGAAGCTTTATCATGCTCAAGAACTGCATCCTGTTACCCAACAGCTACAACACCCACCGCCATCACGATAACAAGGCTGCCTAGACTCGTACAGTAGGCGCAACACAAACAGCACGAGAGAGAGACAGACAGACAGACAGATAGATAGACGGCCAAGAGGCGGCCAATGGGTTTCCAAGGCCGAAGGCGGTCAGACAATTCTCTACCTGCCCCCAGCCTCCCTCCCTCTCACAACAGGACGCTTGCTCCACAACAACAAAAAAACACAGGCACGGTAGCGTTGTCCGCGACCACAAAACAGAAACGAGCAAAACTTGGTTGACGCCAAGAACCACACCCCACCTTCGCAGCTGTATCCACCGCTCCAGGCAGTCCTCGGACACCATCTCCTCCTGGAAAAAGCTCTGTACCACGTAGCGAAACACCGCCCGCAGGGTACCCTCGCACTCCGGCCTGTTATCGTCGTAGTCCAACCACCGCAACGACGGCGAACGGCGAAACAAGTGGGAAATAGCAGCAGTGCAAGGGGAATGTGTACGTGCTGTGGTTTTCTCCACTAGGCTGTCAGTCAGCATTGGTTGGTACATTTCTTCTGGGGGGCAACCCTGATGAAACACTCGAATGTTGTGTTCAGTGCTCTAGAAATGACCGACGAATTCCTTTCTCTCTCTCTGTCTCTCTCTCTCTCTCTCTCCCTCTCTCTCTCCCTCTCCCTCTCTCTTCCCCCCCCTGTCTCTCTCTCTATCTCCCCCTCCCTCATTCTCATCTTCTACGCATCAAAGCCTGGTCCTGGAGTCAGGCGGCACCACTGAAATCTTCGCCCCCCATTTCTCCAGGGACCATCACTCAAGCGTTCGATCCTCTTATCAGAGCAGGCCGTGCCTTCCAAGCAGCCGCCCACGATAAGCTTGCCAGCCTCGCACGCTGCTGCGGCACGCTTGTCGCGGGATGGATCGTTTCTCGCTCTGCTAGGGGTGTGTGTGTGTGCTGTGCATGCCGTAGTCGTTAGACCATTGGCCTCGCATCCCTACAAATCGAGGACGGAGAACGCCGGGTTTTCACCGGACCAGGCTAGCACATCACCTTGAGAGGGGGGGGGGGATCGCGTTCATCGGTTTCGGTGCCTTCCTCACCTGAGAGCGTATGACTCGACGACCTTGATCATTTCCACGTCGTCCCCGGCCTCGACGTTGAGCTTGGACAGGAGCGGCTTCCAGTGCCTGAGTTGAGTCTTGACCGCCGCTACCAGAGCCATGCCCTGCGTTGAGAGACACGGAGCGAGTCGTGAAGAAAAACGAAACGGCTTCACAGAACCAACAAGGTTTTTCGGACTAGAGCAAGAAAACGGTTGGAGAAAATGACAGTCATGGAGAAGCGAACTTCTTCGCCCAACCGGAGTGAAATTCCCGCAGAGAGAGACGCCACATCTCCAGACCGCGCAGCAACTTGTGACAGACAGGTACGGTAGAGTCGCGACAAAAAGATCACTTGATCGATATCGTCAACAACTCCACACGCCACACAGCAGTGTCTTGTACACGACATTTAACTGGACACCAAGACAACAACAAATCAACATACCACGGGTCGGATCGCACCGCAGAAAAACGGTTTTTCCGAGAGATTTCCATCCCAGAACCCCTCTCGTCGAAGGCTCAACAGACAGAGTGGAAAGTGGTGGCCTCATGAATCGCCCTTGTCGAAAAAATAAAAATTAACAAGTATCACCAAGACGACGACGACTTACGTTGCCGGTGTCAGCCCCAGCCAAATCGAGCACCAGTTCCACGGCCGGGCGCATGCACTCCTTGAACTCGCGGTTTTGGGCGAACTTGTAGCTCTTGATCTCCAGCAACAAGTTGTCCAGGGGGTGTCCCTCCTGTCGCGAGTGACCAGGTTCCCGCACAGGCGTAAGCACAAGTTCTCGTTCACCGCCACGCAAAAGCACAACCATCGTCGCATGATCAGTTCAACGGGCGGCACACCAACAGTTCACACGCGCGCCAAGAGAGACGCAAGCAGTCGTGGCAGCCAAGGTACCCCAAGTCCAGCTCTTTCGATGGCATGTCTCCGCATGTGTAGCTTGCCTTCTCGACTGTCGTTCTTGGAGGGTATTTCCGCGTGCTTCTAGGTGCTAGAGTTAGCCAATAACACACACGAGATGACCTACTGGTAGTTGTCTATTTTAGGGATCATGTTTGATGTTTGCGTGGCACGAAGGCAAGGGTTTGAGTCCAACCACCTGCGCGTCGACACTCGAGATTCCGGTTGCAGGCGGGGTAAGGGTATTTGGGGGTGGGTGGGTCGCACGCCCGTTGTACATGGGCTTTCCCCTGTTTGTAAGGGGGTTCTAAAGAGGAACAGAAACAGGGAGGTCGAGCTTGAACCAGATTGCCCGTCTGCTGTGCAATAGGTGGAGACTCTCTGCTGAGCAGCCGAAGTTGCCGCAGCGTCGAAACGGCATAGGAATACTTGCAGCAGGGACCACAGGTAGAGAGGTATTAACCCTAAAGTAGAAGGCAGACAACACCAAACGAAGCGATGTCCAACCAACAGACGGACCACCCCTCGTACCGTTTACAAAAAAACACTAGCAGATCGTGTTCGCTGTTCACACTTACCAACAACCTAGACTACTAGCACGCGTATTATCGTAGCAACAACGACGACGACGACGACGACGACGACGACAACAACAACAACGACGACGACGACAACAGCAACACCGACAGCAACGACAAGCTTGACATACACCTGGTGACCGTTGAGCAGCATGTCCTTCACCACCTGGTGGAAGGCCTCTGACCCGTCCATCGCGGCCATGACCTGCAAACCACCGTTCTCATCGTCCGACAGGTCACGGTCGTCCAGCAGGTCGTCTTCCTCGTCCCTGTTTAGTTCAGTTTAGTTTAGTACAAACAGCATATGGTACCAGTGTTTATTTAGCAAAGACAATGAAACGCGAATCCGTCCTGGTTGACTGTAGATCTCGCCGCACCCACAACCCACACACAGCATTTCTAACACTGTTAATACCATGTGTGCACTTTTCAATCGAGACGATACCCCGTGCCCGCGTTCCATGTTTTCTACAGTATCAGACCAGACCATAAACATGGGTCTTGGTCACGTTTGTCATTCTCTGTGTTTGATATTTTGCGCCTACATGTTCGAGTTGGTGGCTGCTGTGTGTAACAGGTGCGCAACAGGCACTAATCGACAATTGGGCGTGACTCGGGGAGGAAACGCTGGCAATCAGCTCCAAAACAGGGAACAGCAGTGTCTGTCAGTTTTGGTGCTCGCTCGTTACCCCCAACACCGTACAACAGCTGTCCTGGTTGTATGACACGTGGCTCACGCCAATCAAAAACAAACACCCCAACTACGAAGGAAACGGCTTCAGCTTGGCCAGCTGCCGCTGGCTACCTCGGCTCCAAGAAAGACAATGAACCAAGCCACTTCTTCACTGTCGTCGTGTCGCTGTAGGGTAAACAGGCGGCGACCACCGTCGTTGCCGACACACCCCGCCGCCCAACACGACCAAGAATCACCTGAACTCCGTCCATCGGTTTCGCTTCCAGGCCTCCTCTTCCACGCACCCGATGCTCTCACATCGAACCTGCCCCCCGGGGCAAGGACGACACAACAACCAGAGAAAAGTAAAAAAAAAAAAAAAAAGCATTTCGCAAATACGACAGTCAAAAAACAAATCAATGAATAGAGTTGATTGTTTGCAACAACCAGAGAAAAGTAAAAAAAATAAAAAATTAAAGCATTTCGCAAATACGACAGTCAAAAAACAAATCAATGAATAGAGTTGATTGTTTGTCCTGTGCAGACCTCGACGGTGTCCAAGCGCGAACGCCAAAAGCCGTGCAAATAAATACACAATTCCGAACTTGTTGTCTTGTTGAACAAGGTTGATTACTGCTGTAGTATCTCTTCCAGCTTGCCAACATCTTCGCCGACAACCTAACAGCAACAATGACGGCAGCCCCTCAGACCTACTACGCCAGCAAGGCAACAAAAAGAGAGCATACAACCACACACGTGAAACATAAACGAGCAAAAGCGGTCGGTGGTCTCAAAAAAGAGAAGAAAATAACTTGATCGTAACTGCTGTTAAGACTGCTGCCCAGTCATGTCTTCGCGACGTACGGTACCTTGTCAACATCGACTGCTTCCTTGGCGGAGTCCATGCTGTGGTCGTCTTCCCAATCGCTGCCCTGTTTGTCCTCGCTCGCCCACACCCTGGCCCAAGGACAAGCAGCAGCGAACAGGTATATTGTTAGAGGGCGGCAGACACATGCGACCGCACTCGAAGCCAAAATCAAGCGATTAGACTAGTCAGTCTAGTGGGTTGATTTCGGCTTCTATAAAAGCTAGCAGCGGCGGCGGCGGCAGCGGCGGACAGGACAAAACAAGGCAGTAGATTCGACGGCAGCATAGAGACACACGAGAACGTCAGGTGTTGTGTCCCTCGCAGAAGCACCAGCAGCACGGAAGCAAGCAGGGTAGTTGCGAGGTTGTGGGTACAATACTATCTTTCCAGAGCCGGCGATGCCAACAGCCATCGGAGGATTTTCACTTTCACTCAAGACCACGGCATAATCCTCCGCACGCTCTTTTCCCCTCTGAGTACGGCAAGAGATGACGTTCGAGTACCTCAAATCGGCGAGAATCACTGTAACACCATGCCGTTGCGATTTCGGCAGACAAATCAGCTTGGTTGCAGTCTTGCGGACACAGAACATCTACTTCAGCTCTAGGTCTGTGTATCTATCGCTGCGCCTCACGGGGGGCGTGATCACCAATAGCAGCAGCAGAAACAACAACAACGCAAGGTAAACATGAAACGGTGCTTCCTCGACAGAAATCGCAACGGAAAAATAAAGGTACCGTGTGGCTCCTTCAGGTCGACAGAACAATCAAGGCAAAAACAACACATATCGTAGATATCGTAGATACCTTCCGAAGCAGGTCGACACACTACAATCAAGGCAAAAACTGCGCGTAGCACATCGTAGATATCGTAGATTCGCTACCTTCCGACGCCGTCGGGTCCAAGCACGCCCCCACCGTCACTGCCGCCTTCCGGTGCAACTCCCTCGTCGCTGTCTTCCCTTTCATCGTCTCCGCCTCCGTCTCCCCAGTCGTCGTCGTCTTCCTCCTCCGCTCTTCCCGACGTTACTCTGAAAAATGGTCATTTGGGGGGGGGGGGGGCTAGATGAAGTTCGGCATCAAGTCGTGGACGGGCCATGATCGTCATGTGATTGTAACACCTAGAAAGGGTTGCCGATATTCCCTCCCTCTCTCTCTGCGAAGTGGCTAACCATGAGGCTGATTCAGCGAGGAACAAGGGAGGGAAGGAGGGGGGGGCTCGTGATTGAGTTTGGTATCATGCCGTGGATGGGTCATGACCGTCAAGTTGCCTTTGCAAAACCTAGACAGGGTTGTCGATTATCTGTGTGTCTCTCTCCCCACCTCTCTCTCTCTTCGTAAGGGCTACCCATGAGGCATGAGGCTGCTCCACGCAAGCACCCGCGTGCGCCTCCATCTTTGCGAGAACCCCCCCTCCCCCCCTCTGCCCCCCGGATATCGTACATATGCGAGTGGCCAAACAAAAACACAAACACAAACGAATTGGCTTGGGTTGACTCCTCGCGACCGCCCCACATCCCCACCTGGTGAACTCTGCGAGATGTACCCCCTCGCCGACAATGGTGTCCGGTCCCAGCACGCAGCCCCTGGGAACGACGGCTCCGGCCCGGACGATAGCGCCACCTCGAGCTAGACGACGACAAAAAAGCAAAAAAAGAAACTCATTTGCCAAAAAAACTCGATGCGTGCAGAACGGATATCATGGTCTTGCTATGTTTTTTTGGGGGGGTCCGGCGGGTTACAGCGAGGGCGGAGGGGAGCCCCACCAATAGATGGGTGACAATCAAAGCCAACATCCAATCGTTGACTCGATGCAGTCCGATTATCAAGGTCTTGCTACGTTTTGGGGTGCAGCTTGGGCGTGGGTGTGTCGCCCGTGCGCCAACATGAACCGAATCTACGTCGGGTGTGTGTGTGTGCTATATCGTGCACGTACACTCGGTGAGTGGCGTGATGCGATGTTCTATATCACGTATATCGCGTGGAAAACGCAGCCACCTTCTTGCGCTCAGCTCTTCCCATTGCCACACGGCTTCCTTCCAGAAAATATTAATCTCCCTGTGACGAACGCAGCACGTGCTTCCAGGAAACCTCACCCTTGCCCCCCCAAGCACCCCCCCCCCCCCCCCCCCCC